TTTTTTTTTAATCCTCAGAACTCTTTATGTTTTTCTAATAATTGGCAGCAGAGGTACAATTTCTCCCCTCTTTCAAGCGATGAATAGTTGGCCTCAGATCAAAGGCGAGCCCTCGCGGTTTGCTGGCTGCTGCAGAAGGGCGTGGGGCTGGCGTGGGTCCCGGCTCGGTGATGGGCACGGCGGCTCGGTGCCCGGGGGGGCTGCCAGCAGCACGCTGCTCACCCCAGCTCATCGGGTGCCTCTGTCTGTGTGTGTGTTTCAGGCCAACAGCCGACTGAAGCAGATGGAGAAGGAGTGCAGCCAGAAGCTGGCCAAGTCCTCGCAGGTAGGTGACGAGAAGACAGGAGCTTCCCATGAGCTCATTTGATTTGGAGACCTGATGAAAAGTGTAATTACTTCTGCTCTTAAGTGTAGGTCTTTACGATCAGGAGAAGCTGTAACCGTTTCCCAAATCAAACATACAGAGTCGTCTTTAAGATTTTAACCTTAGGAAAGAGACAGAGACATACAATTCACTATAAAAGATTTTTTTTAGTTATTTTTTGAGTTTTCTTCTTTTCCATCTTTTGAGAACCCCCAGAGGATTGAGTCCTCTGTCTGGGAAATGCAGCCCCAGCAGCACAGCCCATGGAGCCCTGAGCCCTGCAGATAGCAGAGCTGTGTCTTTGTCACCAGGTGGGCTTTGCCCACAAGGCCCATGTTAGGGCTTCAGTTCCAGATGGGTGTTCTGCTGGTTAGTATTGCTCCTACCCAATTTTTGTTCTGAGGGCGATGAGGCACTGGCACAAACTGCCCAAAGAGGAGGTGGTGCCCATCCCTGGAGACACTCAGGTCAGGCTGGATGGGCTCTGAGCACCTGGTAGAGCTGTGGGTGTCCCTGCTCATGGCAGAGCAGTTGGACTAGATGGCCTTCCAACTCAAACGATTCAGTGAATCTGATTCAGCATTTTTGCCCAGAATAACATTTGAAAGAATGTAGTATCCTGAAAACAAACAAAGTTTTTAACATTGACTTTTTTCATTCTTTAGTGTAGTCTTTAGAACATGAAAGGTGAAAATGTGTGCTGAATTTGCATACATGCTTTAAAAAGCTAAGACAGGATGATTTCTAAATATTTCAGCTTTCAGCTTTGATTGATAGGTAGTACTGAACTGTGAAAGATGATGGAGATGCAACCAGAAGTTAATCTTTTAATAATAAGAAAATTGCCACGAGGATTTACATGGAGGTGTCATTCTTCTCATTCCTCCCAACCTCAGCACAGTGCCTTCCTGTTACTTTCAAAGGCGTTTTCAGCAGTAGCAATAATAGTCTACCCCTCTATTAAAATCAATAAAAGCACTATAAAGAAGAGTTCAGAACCCTCCAAACTAGAGAGAGGAGATCAGTGACACAATGAGAAGAAATTGCAAACTCTAAAGTTTGCAAAACACTTCAAAATTTGTAAAGCTCTTGATTTCTACTTTTCAGCTACCTTTGGTAAAGCTTTAGAAAGAATAAGACTTGAAATTATGGGTCTGAATAGCAGAAAATTTGTGAAACCCAAAAAGTAACGTCATGCATGTCAGACCTTAAGGAAGAGATCCTTTTCATTGCTAACTCTAATTTACCTTTTGTTTGTCACTTTTATACCATTGTCAGCTTCTCTGTGCCAGACATACTGTCTGAACAAAAGTGGGTCTTGATCCATTTGTTAAAGACAGATGGACTAATTCAGGCATATCTCAATATTTAAACAGGGGGCAAGAGAAATGGCTTTAATTGTTACGGTGAGAACACCTATGTAGCACAGTGCAAAGCAATAAATATCTAGTCTAAATGTCATAATAAATTTTGTCAGACTGAAATTTATTGGCCTGTAGAATAGTCTCAAAATGGAAAAACTTGGAGACGTGTTTTTTTTAAGGTAGGCATTGCTTAGCTAACACACACTGTTCTCTTTATTGGGGAGAGATGGACCCAGCAACCAGACCTGGCATTCCTCTGTGCTTTCTGGGGCAGACACAACACATACATCATATGTCAGGGCTATTTGGCACAATGAAGACGTTTTACCCTAATGTCTGAATTTCTTTACTTTTGTGGGTTTGAATCAAATCCCTAGTGTTTCTTGAGCATAGTCTTTTTCTTGCTCAGTATTAATAATGGGTCAGTTGCAACTTTTCTTGTGGTCACGTTGCTGACAACATCCGTCTAATCTCATGCTCTGCGGCCTCTTGGAGCATTCACTTTTAACACCCACAGAGAGAAGATATTTCAAGAAATTTCCTCTGAAGTTTATGCAAAGTAAACAGATTTTTTTCTCTGAAAAATACTGCACAAAGCAGATCTTTCTCCATCAATTCATGCTGAAATTCCCTAGCATGTGTTTCAGAATTCCTATGTTAGCCCAGCGTCTCAGCCCAGTAAAAACTTTAAGTTTCACTTCTGTTATATTAATGGGTTATTTTATCTTTTTTTTTTAAGCGGCAAAACAAAATATACATAAATCCAGGAAATATCCATGTATGTTTTACTCAGGATCTGCTTTGCTCTGTAGGATCTTCAGGGCCAGTAAGGCATAGAGAAATAAATTAAAGTTTTAAGTCCTTTACCTCTTCCCTGGTGGTTCTAATACCATCACTTGTAGAATATTACTTATTACATCAGTTCCATCCATTTAGTAGTTGTTTTACAACAGCTTTTTTCTTCCAAAATAACGGTGGCCTTACTATATTTCAGTGCTCTGTGACAACAAGGAGCATTGCAAATACTGAGTGCCCCATTATCCCCTCCCTGGCTGCCTGTGTTGGAGCTGTTCTCATCTCCAGCAGTTGAGCCTTGAGTCTGGATATGTGCATTAAAGACAGTGGCTCTCCCATGTGATGCAGTGATGACTTCTCTGTCAGCATAACATTCAGTAAATAAGCCTGAAGGATCTGATGTAGTTATGACTTTCCACGGTGATTTAAAAAAGAAAAATAGTGAAACAAGTACACTTCAACAAGTTGGGAGTGAATCATATAAGAAGAGTACTGCAAGGTCCTGGGTGTTCCATCAGGTCCTGCTGCATTGCCAAGCAGAGTGCATTCCTTTCAGCAGCTCTGAAGTGCCACCATGAAGTTCAGCATTTCATCCCAGTAGGTGAACGTGGGCTCTATGGAGCTGGAAGGTATAACTGTAGGAAACGAACGCAGTTATCTTCCTGCCACACTCATTTCAGGGCAGTGGAAAACTGCAAACTTCCTATATTTTGAAGATCACAGATGTGCTTCGTTCTCATGAGTAAATATTTTGGAATGTCATAGTGGAAATCTCTTCCAAATACTTTGTGTTCAGCAGTTTTTGTTATTTGTAGCCTCACTATCTTCCTTTTCTCTGTATGATGCTTCCTGCTTGCCAGTGTGCAATATGTTAATTGAGAATATTTGGTTTGTGCAGCAATATGCCAATACCACGCTCTTACCAAGCATAAAAACATGCAAAGTACATGCCTGTTACTGAAGAGAGATTTAGCATGCTGTTTTCTTTTTAGATCATAGCTGAACTTAAGACAACCATTTCCTCTCTGACAGAAGAGAACAGCCAGCAGCAGCTCGCTGCAGAACAGCGGCTCCAGGAAGTTGTACAACAGTTTGAAGATAAGAAGCAGCAGCTGATTGCAGATAATAACAGAGCAATCAAGGTAATGTGGGGATTTTAGTCACTGATGCCACTAGCTGGGTTGCTGTAATTAACTGCACTGCTCTGCTGTGGGCAGATGAACGCAGGTATCGTTCCTGCTAACACGGCACTCACTAATTCCATTCACTGGACTTTGGTCAGAAATTGGGGTTTGGCAAGTCTAACCCATCCACTTCAGTCAAAAGCTTGAAGCTTTCCTTTTCTCCTAATGTTAACTCAGGTATTGTAACACGTTTCAGCACGTTCATACGGTGCATCACAGCAGCTTCCATTTGGTTTTCACATGAAGATGGCAGCATTTGTGATTAAGGACCCAATGAAGGAAAGCATGCTTTTAGTACTGTGAGAGGAATCAAGTTTGTTATTATTATCATTAACATTTCTCCATATTTTGTGTTGCATCAAAGTTGCATTCTCTGGCCCTTTATAAGCTTCTTTAAAGAAGCATTAGGAGACTGCTGGTGTGAGTGTCCGGACTGTGTTCCTTGCTGCTCACACACCTTGCCTCCAATTGGCTGCAGAGGACTCTTTTTAAAGGTCTTCCTCTCAGAGTAGTAAAGAGCAAAGGAAGATTCTTTGAAAAGCTGTAATCTGCTGGGCTTGACAGCTAAAGCACTTCATTAAAAATGGTGTAGAAGGAGAAAATGCTTTTTTTCTCAGTAAGGGCATTTTCCAGTGCTAAACAAAGAATGATGCTGTTAAATCTAGGCAGTCATGAAAAAACAACTCCTATAGTTTTTCTGACTTCTTGAGCTGAAAAGAAATGGTGGCAATTTTACATGTTGGAACTGTCTGGTGTTCACGTAGGCTACAATTAATGTTTTCTTCTAAATTTGAGTGGTTTGCATAATGAAATTGGTTGACATTACTATTTCATTATTTGGAGAGTGCTCTTTTTCCTTTTGCCATGAACTATTTAATGATGTTTTTCTCTTCATTTGTGTGTGTTTCTTGAGGAGCAGGATTTTCTTTCTGATCATTCTTTAGTCTATTCTGTCAAAGGTGTACATATATAAACGTTAGCTGTATTTTCTTATCCAAGTTGGATCAATGGAGGTAGGTTTTATTTTCTCTGGGATCTGCAAATAGAATACTGTTAAGTCCCATTATTTTGGAGTACAGTTGGGATGATCCCACTTATGAACATGCATTATTAGTTCCCCAGGATTCCAGTGGCCAACTGGGTGTAGAAAAGCAGTGGAACATTCTTCCAGTATTCCAATGTATTCCAGTCAGGAATACACTGAGATTCACCAGTTGTCATGCATTCTACCTTTGGAAGTTATAGCTTTGTAAAACATGTTTGAGACTGCTTGGCAGCTTCTTTTCTTCACACCTGGTGCACATGCTGCTATTGCATTTATAGATTCACAAAAGTTACCTTTAATGGAAGCAATTCAGCTGTTAGTAACAGCAGGTTTTGAACACTAATGCTTATGGATTCTATGAAATCCTTCTCCATGTAAATGTGTTTTCTGCCATTATAGACTTAATTTAGACATCATGACTCAGAATATAATGAAATACATACAAACCAAAGGGGAATTGTGCACGGTGCTTCTGAGCAGTGCCTGGTGAATTTTTAGCCCTGGTGCTGTGTTTTCTAAGATTTGGTCAACATGGGGAAGAAATTGCAGGAGATGTTATACTTGGAGATCTGGAACTTTTGTTCAGTATCATTAAGGTTGTACTTGAAACAAATCATCCTTTGAAACCACAGATTTATTGGAAATGAACTGAAAGCCAGATATCTGTGCAGAAAATTCTTAGGAAGATGGACTGCTGCATATACTTCTACAAGAGTAAAGAGATGTTTTTAATATTCAATCACTTTGTATTTTTAAGAACCACACATACTTTCTAGACAAGCATATGCAGAAATACTTTGCTTTTTATTAGCCTGGGGCACAAAAACTGTTCCTGGTGAAGTGGAATCCTAGATGTACTGGGGATAGGGAAAGGAATCTATCCCAGGGTAAGCTGAAGACCATGAGAGTTGATTGAAGAAACATTTTAAAGACAAAGCAATTCTTAATATGTTGTAAGCCTTACAGAGACCTTAATACAAGCTATTGAAAAGACTATCACTGAAAAACAGGCAATTGCTAAATATAACATTGATTTAAGCTAACATTGAGAAACAGATTGCAATATACTTTATATGGTATTGGGTGACTTCCTGTAAGGCCTTCCACTTATTATTCTTTTCAAAGGGAGAAATATATTTTTACAGAAACCAACTGGCTCTCAGAGAAGTTCCACGTTTAGTCAGTAAAGTGATATCCAGATGTGGATGCCATTGTACATGATTTTGATGTTAATGCAAATTCCTGACTCTTTTCTAGTTTTCTAAGTCCTTATTATTTCATGATTGTATCCATCTCCTCAGTCTTGATTTTTCTTAATAGTATCTTAAGCATTAGCAAAAAAAAAAAAAAGAATAAAAGAAACTTGAGAACATTTTGCTTCTTTTGACAACCTAAAAACCCAATCTGAGCAACACTTTTAGTCTTCAGATGGCCTCAATTTGGGTCAGTTTGAGACATGCTTAAAGTACTTGGCATTTTGTATTGCACTGTGATTTGTCTGGCCTAGGGCAAGCCAAGCTCTGTGCTGTCAGAGTCATACAGTCAGGGTAAAAGCTTGGCTGGTGAACTTCCTTTCTTGTGGCTTAGGAGGTATCCACTTCGGATACCACCGAATTGCAACATCCAGCAGTAAGCATCCAAGTTGCAGTGATCTGACACAGCGCTGAGCAATGAGGTGACTGCTATTGCTGCCTCCTTCTGCTGGTGAATGTGAGCCTGCAGGGATTACGACAGTGCTGGCACAGGGGATGGCCCCAGGAGCACGGCTCTGTGCTGTGCAGATCTCTTGGCTTTGAACTTCCCAGGGCTTGCACTCCTTGAGCACAGCACGCGACGCTGCAGTGGCATGGGGCAAAGCCAGCAATGCTCACCTGGTCTCGGTGCCATGCTGCTCCCCTGATGTGCTTACACTTCAAAGATTAGGAATCGCCGGTTTGGATTGCAGGATTAGTCGAGAGCACAATTATATTAATGCCCTGCAGATGGTTGGAAAAGCTTCATAAGTTGTAGTGTCTGTTAACCTATTTGTGATGCTTTATGCAGGGATTTTGGAAGGTTTTGGATGCTGAACTCTTGAGAATGTCTGTGCAGGAGTTCTATTGGTGATGTAAGTGCTGTGTAAACTTATTAAGGCTAAATTTAAACTAGCTGTCTTACATTCTGATAGCAATCTAGCCATAGCAGCCCAGAGCTCAGCACCATCAAATGGTCAGAACGTTTACCTAACTGTTCTGATGCTGTTAGCAGTGGTTACTGCCTGGATTCAGCTCTAGCATGTAGCTGATTGCATTGTAGAGATACCTGGAGGTGATTTATGAAACCCTAGCCTCTTTTCTTTTTTTTTTTCCTTTTTTTTTGGGAAATTCTTTTGGATTCTGGGATTGAAAATGCAGCAGAGCTGCAAAACAGTCAGAATGTTTTAATGCAGAATTAGATGGCCAAGTGTGGACTCCACAACAAAAAGCAGATTGTGGAAAGAAATGGATGATGGAGAGCATGCAGCGACAAACCCACAACAGAAAGGGAAGAGAATGATGCTTTTTTGCCAGAAGAACCACATTTGTTATTTGGCTCTTCTTACCAATTCTAGAATTCTGTTGTATCCCCTGAATTAACACCAAAATTTCATTAGCAAAAAACATGTTTTGAAGATGATATATTTCAACACTTCGTGCATCAGCCAAATCATGATCAGATTAATTCCGTTAATAAATAGAACTTAAAAGATTTCTAGGAAGGAATGTCATACAATAATGTTCCTCTTCATGTGAAGAAGTTGGAAACAGTTGTTTTTCTTCGTTATGTTTTAAAACGTCGAGGGGAAAAAATCAAAAGTGTGACTTATAGCCATAGCAGCACAAAGGAAAAAACTTCTGGTTTGAACTTGTCCAGACTAATGTGGGCACAGAGTGCTCTCAGCAGCATCATGTATCTGTTAGATGCTGCCCTATCTTGAAGCAAGAAAATAATTTCCTCTGTGCAAACGCTTGGCTGAGGCTTTATCAACACGGTGACATTTCTGAGTGCAAATATCAGAAAATACTCTGCTGTCACTGTCCCTGTGTGAGGTACCCCGCTTGGTAATCCCCCTTCCCTTTCACCTTTGGTTCCAGCTAAAAGTAAAGCAAATAATTTTAAGCCTTGGGTTGTTTAAAGCATTCAGAACATTTCTTCAAGGGCACCTGATATCTTTGTTTCCAAAAAGTAGTTGTCAAAATATACTGGTGGTGTTTGCAAATCCCTCTAAACGCAGTATAGGAGAGAAACGATGTTTTTAAAAATGTTGTGAATAAACTCCTTTTAGTTATATTTTAATATCAGCCATGTTTATTAGCAAATTCCACTTGTAATTACAAATAATATTTGGTGTTAAAAGAAAAAGCATGGCAGAACTGTGGGAACATGAGCTGAGTGATGGGAGTCCTGCAGAAGTGTTTAGCCTGTTGTCCTCAAAGTACCTTTTGGAACACTGGAATTACTTTGTATTTGCCAATGATGTTTTTAATAAGAAAAATTACAGTTTCTAGATTTTGAAGTCCCAAGCAAAGCTAGCAGTCAGTGTTTTAGATGTCTTATTAATGCTTCCAAAGGGAGAAGATGCATCAGAGAGCATGCAATGTAAATAGACCTGGTGTACTGTACAGAAAAGAAGCATTTGGGGTTCTGTCGTAGAAATGAGACAGCACAGAGTAGAGCCTTCACTCTGTCTGGGTTTGTGGCAGAGCTGGAAATTACCTCCAGCTCCTGAGCTCTGGTCAGGGGTGCATCCATCCCTTCTGCAAGGAGCTTCAGGATCCAAGCAGTAACAGGGTTAGGGTTGGATTAGGGTCCAAGCAGTAACAGGACTGCAGTGCTGCGTGGTTGGAGTGCTTCTTGGCAGTGAGGGAGCCCAGTGTGAGACCACATCTAACAG